AAAAACTGTTATAATAATTATAATAATAATAATAATATTATTATTATTATTATTATAATTGTAAGTGTCATTATTATTATTATTATTATTATTGTTTATCGAATAACAAAATTATTATACTATACAAAAATTAATGTATTTCATAATATTATTCTCAGAGGAATCTGAAAATCTTAAAAAAAAAATAATCTGGAAGAAGGGTGATCGCTCGGAAGCATTAATCACTACAAAATTACATGAAAATTAGTCACGGTTGTATTGAGTCTGTACATGAGAGATAATGAAAACGTGCAACATCCCTTAAGCCCCCTTGAACGATACTTTATTTTCAACACTTAATTGTGTTGAAATCAATTATCCCAAATGGACCAGTTTCATTGTGCCTTCTAACTAAATATACATAGAACGCTTTAATGCCATTGTATAAGGAAAACGGGAGAATGCATTAAAATTGATTTATTTTAGAACATTGATAAAACATAATAAGGGAAGATACTTGATACCCATATTTCCATATCTTCTTTAAATGGATAGTTTGTTTTCTGTTGACATTAGACATAAACCTTGTGAAACAACATGCAACTTTCCAGCAAAAACGATGAAAACAAAATTTTCAAAAACGATTATTTTTTTCGATTTTTTTAACAATAAATAGACATGTAAAAAATTCTGGAACAAGGTGATCCCTCGGAAGCATTAATCACAACAAAATAACATAAGAATTGCAGACTCGGTTTGATTGAGTCTGTACATGAGGGACAATGAATATGTGCAACATCCCTCACGCCCCCTAGCACCGGCTTGAGCGGTACTCAATTCTCAACACTTTATAGTGTTGGCATCAATGATCCCGAAGGACCATTGACTATGTCATTCCTTCCTGTTATCGTTTTGTTAGGTATGTTAGGGTTTAAGAAATAGGAGTAAAATGTACATAAATGATATCTTAATAAAAGTTAGAGACTCTGGCTTGCTATTAAGCAAAATTCCATATGCATCATATTCAAACTGTTACATGTATAGCAAAAAATCTAGATGATAAATTATATTTATACAACTTGATCATTATATAAAGCTGATTTTGATTTATGTTTAATTAAATATCCTTCACATGTACACGGGTTTTAGTTGTCAATGAACTTGTGCAAGCGTTATTATATAGCGCGCGCGAATGGATGTTTTAAGTTGATAACAAAATTAAAGCAATGATCATGTTACATGATGGTATCACCTTGTGAATTGTAAAGGCTCAAAAGTAAAACAAAAACATAAATATTTTCTACAAAAACGTTTTCATAGGCAAAAAACATTCCTCTTAATATGACATGGTGATTAAAATTTTGTGAAACATGCAAAGAGTGTGTCTGGCACTAATAAAATTAATACCAAAGGGGGATTGTAATAGTTTGTAATACTTCCAAAAAAATATTTAATACGATCTTAATATTTAAAAAAATGAAAAGCTGGGAGTTATTAGTGCCCATAAAAATCCGTAATCCTTAACAAAAACGTTGTTTCGTTTTTTAATAACCCAAATGTATATGGTTATATACATGTAAATACAATGTTACAACTCTATAGACATTTATGTGTTTGAAAATGTTTAATATTGTTGGTTTTTCATTATTTATTTCACCTTAAATGCATTCCACAGAAATTTTCTCAAGTAATTTGTAGTATGCACTTTGTTTTGCACTCAAAGTATTATTTTGGAATTTTGATCCCTCTATGGGTATATAAAACAAAATGAAATAGTTTTAGTATTATTATAGCATTGATTTATTTAGTCTGTTCTCGTGAAATAGGGACTATATAATATGTAAATGCACGTTATCAATATAAATATGCTTTGTTATATACCTTTTCAATTGAGTTTTCAAATAAACAGTACATAAGAACCAACATAAAAATGCAATAACAGTACCCAATAAACATAATTATACTGAAAGTAAACCCATTCTGTTGTAAATAATCCTTATTCAATTAAATTTTAAGGTTCTGTTAAATTGTATATAATATTGTGAATAATATTGCAAACGTAGAAATGTAGAATATGTTTAAATATTTTATCATGAACATAGCATCATATATATTATGTTATTTGACATTTCATACATGTACATTTTTATTGTTTATATTAAAACTCTGCCGTGTCATGTAGGTACTTTAATTGAGAGACCGGTGTGGTAAAAGTAAAAAAATAAGACGATTTCTTTATCATTTTCTTAGGAACATTTCATTTCTATGCTTGTTTGCGGCCTTAAATGAGATATTTGATGCTCCTTAACAAGAATGATTGATTAATACAAAGTTGTTACTCAAACGGCATCGTGTTTAAAAGTTTGAATATCAAGTTATTCAGAACCAATCCATTTCTTGGAATAAATTTAAATGTCTGTACACGTGAAACAATGCTTTTTCTGAAATAAAATAGAGAAAGAAATCATTGATTTGGTCCAATTTAAATTGAAATGCAGATGGAACAGTGTAGTATATATTCTATTGTTGTTACACTCTGGTCACTTATTACTGAAATTGGTTAATTTTGATGTTCAAGTTATCAGTAAGTCTCCGGACAGGAAATAAGTTTACAATAAAAACAGTTTTTATTAGTATTATAATTATTATTATCATCATCATCATCATCATCATCATCATCATCATCATCATTATTATCATTATTATTATTATAAGGTTAGCCTTCATTATTATCATCATCATCATGATCATGATCATCATTATTATCAATATTATTATTATAAGGTTAGCCTTAATTATTTGTTACAATCACAATACAAGGAGCTTTCCCAAGTGTAACAGTTGAGGTAAAATTTTAAATCTAATTTCCATAAAACTAATTTCACTTTTAGGAATGGGGTTTGTCATCCCATATTTGTTTAAAGGTCCTAATTCATTAAGGATAAGACTGAAGTTCATTTAAATAACATATAAATCAATAAAAACGTAGAAGTTAATTGTCTTTCTCTTAATAAACCTATTGACGATGATCCCTGCAGTCACAATCGATTTTTGTTTTGTATTTAAAGGCAATGAACTACTCGCAACAAAGAAAATCATAAAATGTTCATAAAATGATTTAAACAATGAGCTTAATGTTCAGAAAGTATTGTACAGAGACGTTTTATCACTTTCGTTCCGTTCAACTGAATACTAGAGGATGAACTTATAAAAAATCAAAACTAATGTCAAGACTTTCCCTTAATTCGAGCACCCTTACGTTCAGTACAATAGGTTGGTATTTGTTTACAACCACATTTAACTTATGGAATGTTTCAAATATAATTGTTGTTTTTGTTGAGGGGAGCACATTGTTAATGCACATTTCTTGACATATAACCGGCCGCAGTAAATTACATAAATCATCTGTCTTATGTCATTAAGTCAAAGTAAAACATCAATCTAAAATCCATGTAAGTCATTCATCTGAACTCCAAGTAAACCATTCATCTAAAGTCCATGTTAATCATGGATCTTAAGCCCTTGTAAATCATGCATCTAAACTCCTTGTAAATCATAATCATATGTCCATGTACGAGTAAATCATGCATATTAAATAAACTTCATGTAAATTATGCATCTTAAATCCATGTATTGGCTCGCCTTTGTTTTTTCAATTTTATTCCGCTATAAAATCAGGTGTAGTTTTACTGGCAGACATAGCATTAAAAGAATTTATTTTTACAAAGTTTTTTAATACAAATCAACAAGGTGTTCCATAGCAACGTATTAACGGCAAGCAAATGAATTTTCTTGTTGTTTCTATTTTCAAAACTGGTGACATTTTGTCCAAATTATGATTTCAATAATATGGAACTCGATACTTGTTTGTCATCATTCACGAGTTTAAGGTCATATTTGTTTCTAAAACAAGTTTTGCAACGTCTTAATCAATGGTTTCAAAACTAGACTTTAAATTAAATAACAATCATTCTGTGACCCAGACGTTTTATGCAGATTATGTCCGCCAAAAATGACGTTTTAAGGGAAGATGCTGTCATAAAATGCCTGTTAATTCAGATTAAAACGTACAGATGTTGTGATTTATATCAAGCAAATTTCAAAATGTGCGTTTTATTAACCATAGTTCAAGCGGAAATAAATTAAACCTTATTATCGATTAGATGAAATCGTTACCTAAAATATTCATACAAATTTTATAATGCATTTGAACTTTAAAACATATGTTCTTAAACTAGGAAAAAAACATTTATCAATTTCTTCACAACATACGTTTTTACTTTACTTTTCCTTATCCTAATATAAAGTACAAATAAAGTCCTTTCTTTATTTAGTTTCCACTTCATAATTTTTATTTGGAAGTTTAAACTTTTAGACTTTTTCAATTTTGTAGATTCTCTTTCATTTTAACCTTGTTTCAATGAAAATTTTCCGAGGTATTTTGATCTTCAAAATGTACTTTGTGTGCTATATTTAACTTCATAAACTAAAGGATTAGCAACGTTAATGTGATAAAATTCATCACGAGCAAAGCCTAGAGCACACTAGTGTACGCAAACAAGCACTTCATAATTTTTATTTGGAAGTTTAAACTTTTTTAAAACTTTTTAGGCTTTTTCAATTATGTAGATTCTCTTTCATTTTCACCGTGTTTCAATGAAACTTTTTCGAGGTATTTTGATCTTCAAATAAACTTTTGTGCTATATTTAACTTCATAAACTAAAGGTTTAGCAACGGAAATGTGATAAAATTCATCACGAAACAACGAGTTGCGTCACTAAACATATTAACCTTTTTTTTCTTGATTGCATGTGTATGAAATTAGATCTCGAATACTATAAATCTTTTATAGTACGATCAAAATCTGCTATAATATCCTACCTACATTATATTCTATAAACCAGAATTGGATAGCAGAATTACGTCTTCTGAAGCAGTTTAGATAGTTGATTTAATGACAAGTGATACAAGACAGATATCTGTGAGAATCGTTTACAAGGTTTTCGCGGAATTATAGTACGTGTTGCTTTATACAGCGTTCTTAAGCATTATTGGAGATTCTGGCTACTTTTCTTACCTTCTTCTTCTGATAGTTTTGTTCCTTTTTTCAGCTATTGCAAATAATAATATTATAACATTTCTACTGAATACTGGAAGAGATAAAGATCGGAAAAGGGAAAAAAGGGAAGTTTTAAGGGAATATTTCTAAGATAGATAAATGTTAAAACAATTATGGAATTTGCATATCAAGGTAAGTCTCAAGAAAAAGTAATCTTTTTTATTTATTTATTTTTTTAAATTAAATATTATAATCTTTCTTAAGTTTACTAAACTTTGTGTCATTTTTTTATGGAAGAAGCATCTAACTAACGAGTGTTTTTGTAAATTAATTTTAATGGAAGTGGTATTACGTAAATGCCTTTCAATTATGTGTGTGAAATTGCATTAGTACTGTCATTTTAAGGATTCGGTGATGTTTTTAATGATAACCTAAATGATTTGAACTAATAAGTTATGTTTTCTTTTTCTTTTTTGTCAATTGTCGCCCCCCCCCCCCCTCTGTATGCTTTGTGTACCATCAATCAAACAACCTCAATAACTAATAAATCAAATCATTTAAAAATCTTAATTAAGAACAATGACTTTATCCTGCCAATCATACCGTGTGGTCAGTTTTGATATAAATGAAATGTCAAATGTGTTTTAACAGGATTCAATGCGTCGTCATATTAAACAACCATTCATCATTTATAGGGACATTTCAAAAATATTTACTTAACGGTACACATCCATGTCGTCTGGTCTTGGTCTGGACTGGTCGCATGGGTGGACAAACTTGGTCGCATGGGTGGACAAACTTAATCGCATGGATGGACAAACTTGGTCGCATGGGTGGACAAACCTGGTCGCATGGGTGGACAAACTTGGTCGCATGGGTAGATAAACTAGTTACGAACAAATAAGGGTAAAGGACTGCCAAAAACAAACATTTATTTCTACATGAGTTTAATTTTGAATCACTTTACATACTGTAATAGTCATTTATTATACCCATTTTTCAACTGAACTTAACGAGATTCTTATCTATCTTTATCATCAACTTTTGATTATTTGGTTCATTTTTCTTGTGAAAACCTTAGCTTTAAACTATGACTATAACTTATATAAATGGCAGTATTTGACAATGTATGTCAATGCGTACACTATTTTACATTTTGCGTTTTTATAGTTTATCCTTTCTCGAAAGATTTGTTTTGTCACAATCAAAGCTAATATGAGGTTTTATTCGATTCTTTTCTCCCATGGGAATTGATAATGTGATCTTTCTTAATGGACTTGACGTGTGGACAGAAGATAAAGACAAAAGTTTTACTGCCGGTTGTTTTTATCTGTCAAGCAGGTGTTATTCGATTTATCATAAGATGCGCATAGAAGTCATACAAGTGATAAAGGTTTTACATTGTGTTTCCTCTGTGTATAAATATACATTTAATCAATTTACCATAGGATCAAATAAGAAAACGATCGATTTTTATACAGAAATGTTGATGTAAAATTGATATTAAAGCCAAAATACTATTTCGTATAATTTTTGTATCATTAGAATAATATTTTCTTTTGTGTAGTTTAATCAAATTTGACCTTTATCACCCACTTATTTCTGTGTATTGTCAATGTTTAAATGTAAAATTATGGTATATAAAGATTATCTCTTCCGCCATCTTAATTGTGTGTGTGTCTTTGGAAAATTAACGTTTTGAGAATAAACCTCGTAAAATGCTGTAAAATATGCCTCAAAAGAGTATTTTATATCAATCTATATTTTTGTGGAAAACAATGGTGAACAATTAGCAGTGGATTGTTGGAACACTGATAGCCGATTTATTCATTTAAGTGCCTAGAAACGTTATGCGCTATTGTTAATCTTAAGCTGTAATACGCAGTATGGTAAATGATAAAGATACTTTCATACTTACTCGTGACGCTTATGTCATGCAGCTTCAAATGTCTTATATTGAATATGAATAATCATTTCTAATTGGCGTTAATCTTAACGAATGCAACATGTGCACACAACTATGTTTCACCCAAAACATTGAATATTATACAATTATTGACTAGTGAGCCATTGAATATGATGTCAATATGACTTTCTGCCGGTGAATACCTCATTATATTCAATGACATACTAGTCAATAAGTGTTTTATTACATGAATAGGCTAAGAATTAAAACAAAGTTCCCAAAAAGTACAACCTTATATACATGTACAAATTTTGCCTTGTTGAAGCGCGGGAGAAAAAGACTCACGTGTTAGGCGTGCAACGACTACGCGGACGCAGCGCATACAAAAGTAATTCAAGCTTATACTCATCATTGCGGTGTAGCCTTTAAGTAGAATAGTACAGTAATTATTTTCAATGATTTGTGAATATCATACTAAACCCAGTGAATATGATTTTATAAAAAAAAGTTCTTTTGACTACTGTTTGGACCAATGAGGTTGCAGCTATATTTAGATCATATAATAAACTTTATTGCTGTTACAATTAAATTTGCAAAGAATATTTTAAACAGCTAAAGATGTAATATGAAAAGGGTGTATTGTTATAACAGAATGAGCTATACTTCATGTAGCATCTTTTTGTTTCGTTTGAGTAAAACTGCCTTTGTATAAAGGAAGAATATCTAAAATACTAAAAGTATACATTATCTTTACACATGTTTATTGTACATAACTTTATCATTTTTTCTTATTTAAAATCATATTGTAGGATGTAGAAACTACTTCCCTTTCAAAACAAAACCAACGCAACATATAAAAACGTTGTTGCGTACTGCAATCATGATGAAGATTCATGAGCAAAAATCGATTCTCGTTCCGTGTCATGAGACAGTTAACTTATCGCAGGAAGCAATGTCATAAAAACTTCATAAAGGGACACTCTTTAGTAAGAAAGTATTGCACTGCGACTTTGTTTTCAGAGTTCAAAATGTACACATAAGATGTTGTAACTCTCTACGTTCATGCGACTTGTATAGGGTTCATGAATGCATAAAACAGTAAAGTGTCTACATTATTCAGATTATTTGTCTTGAACATGAACATATCACCTAATTCTGCTATAAATTATTTGTCATTGGTCAATTGAGTTAACTCGTGAGTCCATTTTTGATCTTTAGAAACAGCTTAATAATCTTAATTTAAAAGAAAACATGCGTTGAATTGAAAACAATGTTGTTTTTCTAATTTCAAATTGTCAACTACAAGTATTTTGTCTTTATAATTATGCAAATAGTTCAAAAGCCAATTCAGATATTTATCTCCATGAATTTAATTTATGTCAAAGTTATTCCCTTCAGGTTTTTGTTTTTGTGTAAAGCAATACGATCTTTGTGTGCTTCAATACACAATATTATTCAAAAGTAACTGTAGACGAAAATATTAAACTTTTTTTTAAATGTCAGTCATCTTACTCTTAGGAGATGTCAGTTGTTATTTACAAGCACTGGTTCGAACATTAGGAAATCTAGTGTAATATTCTATTATGTATAAAACAAATTTCATTCATCCTGTCCGTGCTCTGCCTAGTGCCCTGTCCTGTTTTTGGGGGTCCTCCTGGGCTTCTTGTCGCTGGTCCTTGTTGCTGAGTCGTGTGGGTGTTAAGTTCATTGAACACCGCTTTTCCTTGTTGATCATATTTTACGCACAAATCAAGTGTTCTGTTTCAACTTTGCCTGTCATTAAATTATAAATCTGTCTCTTGACATATCCATTGACTATCTACATTTGTGTCGATTTCTCCATTTGTGTTGATTAAAACGCAATAGTTTTTTCCTTGAAATCAAGAAGTTTATTACGGCAAATGCATACTAGAAGAATTCTCTATTGATAATCATGATAAAGTGAGGACGTATTTGTAAACATGCCAATGTTGACATATTTCTTCAGACTAAAATTTGATAATTAAACCAGAAGGATTTGTTTTTGTTGCAATCACAACAATAAGAGGTTTCGTTCGATTTTATTCCCTTCGGGAATAAATTATTTGATCCTTCTTAATGGATTTAACATGTCGTTAGAAGACACATACATAATTTGTAAATCTTGTTTAGCTTCCATAGAAATGTTATTTGCATCGTAGTAAACTTCCAAATTATAACATAACAGTTACTTACATGTCTCGATTTGTTTTGTTGTTATTTTTTATTGCGTATGATTATAATGAATATATTAATAGATTTGAAATTTGTAAATGGGTGATTGCTAGGAGGCAGTGAAACAACTATATTATGTAAAATTTGCAGACACGGTTTTGTTGAGTTTGTTCATTAGAGATAATGTAAAAATGCAATTTCTTACGCTTAAAGACACCGGCTTGTTGGTATTAAATCTTCAGAATCAATGATCCCCAAGAACAGAAAAAAGCGACACTGAAACTTCTGAAAGCATAATTAAAAATAGTGTAAATTTTACTAGAATATTATAGCGTTTTCGGATATATTCTACTATATGCATCATTTAATTGTATTCTACCGACGATAAATTAAGCTATCACTTTAATACTAGATTAGTTTGAGACGAAAGTTTGGCTTCACTAAAGTTTAAAGAACGTTTACTTGTTATTCCCTTACACCTTTTTTGTAAGAAATGCACAATATCAGTATTGTTTGGTTTACTTTTTCTATTGTGATAATCAATGAAATCATTTTACTGCAAGTAAATAGTTTGTTAACCTAAACCATTAAAGACCTAAACAATTTACCCGGACAAAAACAAACCTAGATGTAATTCCTTTCGTATTCTAGAATATTCATTTAGATAATCGAATGAATTATCTTTCGATGTGTTTGAGATAAAAGTCAATGGGCCTCTTGTAGTAAATACTGCTATATAATTTACCAAGGAGAGCCAAACATATGCGTAATTTGTAGAAAGTAGTGTCTTGAGACTTTGTGTGAAGGTTCATACCAGATCAAATTTTGAGATGTGTGAGATCGTATCAATAAGCAAAATAATAGAATCGAAGCAGTAACAATATTTAGATAATGATATAGTCTAATTTATATATCTATCTAAAAGATGCTAAGGGTCCATTACATCTGAAGCAAATGGATGTGTGGTTCACATTTTGACATTTCTACTGATAGATCCACAGTAAAATGTATTGAATTGCGTTTTCATTTTCATGTTGCATGCCGAATTAACTCTTATATTATCTAAGGGGAATGTATTCGCAGTTATAAAACG